GTATTATGTTAATATACCCTAATTGTAACCATAATGATTTTTGGATAACTATGAAAATTATCACTATGAAATGAATTAGCAAACTATTAAGTATAATTACGGCAATAATGATAATACAGAACTAAGAATTTTGGTAATCGTTGATAACCGTGTGCATATTTATGACAATGATATAGCTTTTGATGGTGATACTAATGATAATGAATAAGGAGGAAGATAATAATGGTAGTGAAGCTGATGGTGATTATGATGTTGAGGAAGAGGATAATAGGGAGAAGTAAAAAATAGCATGAAAACATTGATTACGCAAAAATGTAAATTTACTCGAAATCGAAATGAGTAAAATACATTGCTTTTAACGTGTATAAAATTTCTAAGACGATATCTCTTAGAAATGAAATTGTATTTTGACTGGAGTAAGCACATGCTCGGATAATAACGATAAAATAAAGTAGTTAAAGATAATAACAATAATATTGAAAATGATAATGGTGAAGATAGTAATAATAAAAACAAACAAACAAAAACAGGAAAATGGCCATATACAAAAACAATATAAAGTACACTGATCTTCCCTCACCCCCAGGAGGTCTTAATGGCAAAATGGATAGTCTCACAATCCCTAAGCCCTATGTATGAAAAATATCAGCAAAAAAAGAGAAAATACATTAATGAAAGCACTTAATATCTGATATGAAATGATCTTATGTTCATTTTATATCTTTAAAAAATCCTATTGGTGTATTACAGTTACTGTTGTGTAAAGTTTGAAGTCATCTATAATAAAAAGAAATGGCTGAGACGTGTATGTAATACCTGCAAATTCGACAGAAGACATAGTAAATATATCTCTTTCTCTCTCTCTCTTCCAACCATTTTCACAATCTCGCAAAATATCATCACGCTTTTACAGATCTGGAATACTACAGGGTTTACTGGGGAGACACTTCACAGGAAGACCTTTATTGTGGTCATTATCTTCCTCGTCCTTTTCCAGATAGATGAATACCACCTTCTGCCTCAAGCTTATGGTTTTATTTTTCCTTAGTAACAAAGAGATGACTGCATAAGTCCTATACATTTTCAAGAGCAATAACACTACATCAATTCAAATGTTAGCTGCAGTAACATGCAGTACCTGGACCACCAAAGTCCGCCTGCATTTGTTAGTGACAGCCTTTAGTAATTCTTTGTTTGGCCTCTTTTCGTAGTTAACAACTGTTAACTCGCAGCTGGCAGACGATCAATAATTGTATTTCTTTTTAAGCAATGACAATTATATACTTCTTCGACAGCGCACAAATATGGGCGGGAGCGGGGGGATTTTGATGTTGAAATCAATATTCCATTGAATATATTTTTATTAAATGTAGGTCATTCAATATACTGTGTACTAATGGCATATGGTCCGTTAAAAAAGGAAAATGAGATATTTGGAACACAATATTTTTTTCTCATATATTTAACTTGATTTTATATAGAGATAATTTGAAGAATAAACCATGTTTTTTTTTTCAGATGTATCCATACTAACATAATTCTAAATATTTTCCAGAGCTTTTTTTATGTTGACTCATAACATTGTCAATGTGTCCTTAGTGTAGGGAGGGTTAATTAAAAACATGTATCGCATGACCTTCAACAAAGGAACGACAGTTGAATATATAAGAGAAGAAAGGCCCAAGATTGTCATCAGTTATTCCTGAAACTATCAAACTCAGCATGAACACAAAAGCAAGTCATATTAAAAGCTTTGGAAATAAAGTTGTGTTTTATTTATTTATTTATTTTTTACGATTTTCCAGTAAAATCAACAATTGCAGAACATTAAAAACATAAAAAACTGTTGGATATATTCGTTATATCGAGAAAAACAATTCCTAATGTCTTTGAACTCCTAGGAATCGTTCGAGTCTTTTGAGGCCAAATACGACTTCAACTGGGCTGTCAAACACGACGACTCCGAGAACGACTTCGGCCACCAGGAAGCCCCAATGAAGCCGACACTCAGGGGTCCGATTACGTGCAGCTCCCCGACGGCCGCCTGCAGACCGTCAGGGACGTCGTGGACGGCGACAACGGCTACGTGGCCGAAGTGAACTACGAGGGCGAGGCTCGTTACCCCGACTCCAATTAATCAAAATAATTATGAATGAGCTGACAAGGACTTCTTGTGATGACTATCGTGTATATCGGTATATATGCTGAGTTTTAAATACATTTTATAATTATACTAGAAAAGCACTCAGAGAGTGCAGACCTCCGCCAAAGTGCGTATATAATATATATACTTTGGTTGAGGATGAAAAGGATCAGACAGCTCGGAGTTTCTTCAAAAAAGAAAAAAAAAAGCCCTCATACACAATTAAAAGGCAACAGTTTGTTTTTAATTGTGTATAAGGGCCATTTTATCTCAATTTTTTTACGGGAAAATAAATATCAGTGAGAATTTGGGGTTAAAGTTTAAAAAAAATAGCCCTCATACACAATTAAAAAGCTAAACTTCGCTTTTTAATTGTGTATGAGGCCGCTGCTGCGTCCAGACGGTAATTCGGAATGTCACCAAAATTTAATCAGTTCTAAGTTAGTCCCTTTCTGACTTGTCCCCAAGATTTCGATGAGATCCGGCCAGCACTTTTTGAGCTACGCTGCTAACAAACCAACAAACCAACGCCGTCACAAACATAACCTCCTTGGTGGAGGTAATAAATAATCTAGATGATATACACTAAATCCAATTGTGACGTAATGATGTTGATGACTGTGAAAACTAAAATTATCATATATATGAGTGAGTATATCACTCCCTTCTCCATCTCTCTTGTGATCTTGCTTTATTTACTTGCCAGCGAGCCTTTACCTGTCTGCAGTACCAAACTGTTGGGATTCACTGATATGGAACTACACAGGAAAAAAGTTCCAAAATAGTGTGTTTCTCTTCGATTCTACCCGTCACCAGATGGCTGAAGGTCCTCTACTCTTCCCTCATACATAAGACCTTCCTCTTCCTATAACATTTATGAAGTAAGATGCGTAGGGCATAATAGTTTCAGTGTTAGACCACTTACAGCCCCGCGAGGTTTGCTGAAGATACTGTATAGATATATTATTATGCTGTAGCCTGGCTCATGATCTCATGAGCTCCAACGATCTTTTATTCGTAAAACAATCGCCAGGTCATTAAATATATATATATACACATATATGTATTTATATATATATATATATATATATATATATATATATATATATATATATATATATATATATATATATATATATATATATTACCTAATAATTATCTAATGATATATGTAATACATTTTAAAAGAGATACCAAATTGATAAAAAAAATATAATAGGATGGATAATGAAATAGTGTACCTACCTATTAACAGCAAACATTTACGAAAGGGATACTTGACACGCATAATTACTTACTTTTTAATCATTATTCTATATTCCATATTTCTTTATGTTGAGTGCTGAACCATGACTTTCTCAGCTATGAACATAGTAACATAAACATGTGCAAGTTATACGTGCATTAACTACATTTTGTTTTTCTTTCGAATATTGACCCATGACTATGTCAAATCTGCCCCTAGTGTGGGCAAGGTTAGCGAAAAACATGTCCCGCCTGACCTTCAGCAATGGTCACAAAGGCACGACGGTCGAGTATATAAAGGGCCAGAGGTTCATGCCTGTCATCAGTTCCTTCTGAAACTATCAAGCTAAACATGAACGCAAAGGTAAATAGGGTCATAGACTTCCTAAATAGCATGGTCGTTTCCGCAGCTAAGACTGACTACTTAATATGCGTTTTTCTTGTACATTCTGTAACTGTTTGATTTTATTTATTAATTTATCTTTTTATTCCTTAGGTCTTCATCCTCCTCGGCCTGGTGGCTTTTGTTGCTGCCGACAAATTGGTGTGTAACTTTTACTTCTTTCGTTTACATTAGTTAAAAGGTGTCTAAGATAGAAGGGGTGGGGGGGGTGGGGGAGGGCAAGGCGAGATTATATATCAGTAAAATATATTAGCAATGACGTGGAAGTTCCGTGGCTTACATTGATAAAAAAATTCTTTAGAGCCAGCACTTAGAGAAGTTGAAAATCATAACAGACGGATATACACTTACAGTTATCACGAACAAGTTCACAATGTCTTGGCATTTCAGGCATCTTTTGAGTCAGGTGAGGCCAGATACGAATTTGACTGGGCTGTCAAACACGACGACTCCGACAACGACTTCGGCCACCAGGAAGCCCGCAATGGAGACGATACTCAGGGATCCTACTACGTGCAGCTTCCCGACGGCCGCCTGCAGACCGTCAGGTACGTCGTGGACGGCGACAACGGATACGTGGCCGAAGTGAACTACGAGGGCGAGGCACGTTACCCCGACTCCAATGAATCAAAGTAAATGGAACCCAACGTCGCGGTATAATCGGCTGATAACGACCCATGATATGGCTTGCATATATATATACATGTATATATGTATATTTATCCTTATTTGTAAATAAACCATTGTAATAGAAGAGAACTTTCATAACATTTACTAGATATTATCCTAATGATGTTAATGGTGATGAAATTAGGAAGGAATATGATAGTTATGATTGGCAGCGATGACAATGAGGATAATGGTGGTAATAATAGTGAAAGTACCGAAAGTAAAGATTTAATCATTATTGATATTGATAGTGACGCTAATTTTTTATGTCATTCTTAAACAAGTGTTGTGAGCAGCAATTATAATTCGAAATCAGAATTAAACTTCCAGTAACAAGCAACAGCCGAATTATATTCCTCTGCTTCTAATTAATTGCTGAGGTTACTGGCTAAAAGGAGCTTTATTATCTTGGTTCGTATGAACACACACACACATACATATATACACGGTATGACTATATTTATTTATCTATATATGTGTATATATGTACAGTATATATGTATATACATATATAAATACATATACATATATATACATGTA